CTCTCTCTCTCTCTCTCTCTCTCTCTCTCTCTCTCTCTCTCTCTCTCTCTCTCTCTCTCTCTCTCTCTCTCTCTCTCTCTCTCTCCGCCTATGTGCGTGCGTGCACGCACATTTAACTGAGCACTTCGGCTCGAAGGCATTTTCTCGTCGATCGAGGAAAAATGCCTCGCGGATCAATCGTGCGGATCCATGGCGATTCTCCTACTTGCCGCCTTCTGATAATCACCACCACCTACTCGCCCCCTTCTGATTCCAACGACGATCCTCCTCCTTGCCGTCCGGCCGGTGATTGATTCATCCCAGCCGTGAACATTTACCTGCGGTCTTTGCCCTGTCCTCGTCTTCATCGAGCGGCCCCACCACCTCATCTGTTCCTCCCCTTCCTCTAGAACTTCGTCACATGTTTACCACCTCCTCCTCCTCCTCCTCCTCCTCCTCCTCCTCGTTGTTCGTGCACGTTTGCGCAGTTGCTTCGTCTGCTGCTGGTCCTCGTGTGTCTTCCTTCATCAACTCCTTGATCTCCTGTTCCCCCCCTCTTCTCCTTCGTCCACCTCTTTTCCTTCGCCTACTCCTTCATTATCCTCCTCTGTTTTATTCTGCTCATTTTCCTCTCTTCGCATCCCCCCCACTTCTCTTTCTATCTTTGCTTTCATGGTCAATTTCCATCTCCTGACCTCTTTTCCTTCGCTCTTCCTTCTGCCTTTCCTTTCTCGTCTCTATTTCCCTCACCTTGCCGTTCTTTGCTCTTTCCTGTCCCTCCCCATCATTCCCTCAGTCACTCTTTCCTGTAGTTCCTCTCATCTTCTGCACATCTTCTTTCGTTCTTTCTTCCTTCTCTCTCTCTCTCTCTCTCTCTCTCTCTCTCTCTCTCTCTCTCTCTCTCTCTCTCTCTCTCTCTTTTTTCTTCTTTTTTTTTGGTTGCATTTTCCACATTTCGCTATATTACTCTTGCTCCTCTTCTCCACTCCCTCTTTTGCTCGTTATTGCTATTTTCATCATCTTGACGACTTTTGGCCCCGATTTGTGTTGTGGATGGATGGAATACTGGGTTGGGGTGGTGGAGGGCACTTTTTTTTTCTGATGCAGCTGCTTCTTACCGGCACCATGAAGATAATGCGGACGATGTATCGCTGAAAGGTTGGCTCCGTGTAATTCTTCAAGTGGTGATATATCTGCCAGATAGCCAGCACGGTGGCAAAAAGGGTGGAAAGAGTCGAGATCCCGATGCTAATCCCTCCATTGAACTGCCCCATCCTGGCTGCTGCTGCTGACTATCTGCAGGGCGAAATCCCCTCCCCGCTCCTGCTGCTTGCCAAGGAGAGAGAGAAACAGGAGGGCATCGACAGATCGATCGACCCCTCCCTCTCCCTCACGGAGCCGTCACCCCTCCTTCCTCACTCCAACCCTACAGCCGATCCGTGCCGCTCGACCTTCGACCCTCCTCCCTCCTGCTCTTTCCCGGCGTTAGCACCCCCCCACTCTTCCCCGACCCCACCTCACTGGCCAACGAAACTGCGGCGAGCGGGGGATTTCCTCGCCTTGCTTTGTCCAATCAACAACTCCTTCCAACGAGCTGCGGTAGACCCCATCCACGTGTTCTCTCTCACATGCCACAGCACGCCACCTCTACCTCCCGCCACGCGACAATCGATAGAGGCTGGCGCACTTCCCGCCAGTCGTACTAACAGGGTAGCAGTACCTTTCCCGCCAGTGGAACCCCAGCGCCCTTCCCGCCAGCGGAACCAGTGTCTTTCTCCCGCCAGTGGAACCCCAGTGCCCTTCCCGCCTGCGGAACCAGTGTCTTTCTCCCGCCAGTGGAACCCCAGTGCCCTTCCCGCCAGCGGAACTAGTGTCTTTCGCGCAACTACTACTCAACTCCCTCCCCCAGCTGTCCCATACATACCGTTAATACCTCGCTCGCCATTAATCAGCGAACCGCTACCAAACGCTGCCGCCATGAAGAATTCGCCGCTGCTCCAGAATGGCAACGACACCAACCCCACCTTTCTCCTCCGTCTCCGTACGTAGACGTGAGAGAAAACATTCCCGAAGACCTCTACCTCCCATGCTTGATTACCTCGTCCTCTACCCAGCGCCAATCACTGCCCGATGAGCTGGCAATACTGCATTTATCACCCAGCTACAGATCCGACAAACTCCTCTATCCACCTCGGATCCACGGCCTCGTTTAGACCCGCACTAATCAACGTCAGATACCGACCCATCAACAGTCTTTGAGGTTTGCTCCTCTCTCTCTCTCTCTCTCTCTCTCTCTCTCTCTCTCTCTCTCTCTCTCTCTCTCTCTCTCTCTCTCT